TCTGATCCCCCTAAGCGAATTTATGTAACATTTTATACGAGTGATAGAAACGTGTCGTACTATTTCTCAGCAGTAAAAACTTTGGGCTTTAGGCAGCGGAAATTATACCGAGAGAACAATTATTAAGTAAAAACCAAAATGGAAGGGGTTAAGTTCATTATGCAGCTCATCCTTGTATTTATTTTACCTATAGGAAGAACGTTCAACTTTCGCTTTCCTGATGGTAGAGTGACTAACGTCATGATATAGCGGTTATGAGGCCTATTTTATATTCTAGAGGTTACGTTCTTGAATCTCTGTAAATCCCTTATTCTGAGGACGTTCAAGTTTTAAATCAAAATCTGAGGAAAATACTGCGAAGTGTCCCAAAATACGATTAGGGTTGCAATTCTCTGAGGTTTACATGGCAGTGATGAGTCACATTGTGGACTTCTGGGTTATGGATCCATTATCCCCAAAACTGCACACCATGCAATATCCTAGAGTTTCAAGATCGTGTGTGATTTTAAGCTTTCCACAGCAGTGAAGTTTAACACTGAGATCTTCTGAGTAATGACACAGTGATCTCCCAGATTACAACACGATGCTATAGGTCCAGAACACAATATGACGTCAAGATTGCGTATGAGTTGATGAAGAGGGGTTGGATTTCGAATCTCGATAGGCGCAAGATTCTTATCCTCTCCACGTCGTCCAGACCAGTTCTGGGGCCCGCGCGATCTCCTATCCAATGGGTACCGGGGGCTCTATCACCGGAGGTAAAGAGGACGGGGCGTGAAGCTGGCCACTCACCTCCAATTAGTGCTGAGGTCAAGAATACGTGGTCTATGCATTCACTCCCCCATACACCTTCATGGCGTCGTACTGCATCGGTTAATCACAGGGCAATTTTATCCTTTTTCACCGGTGAATATTCCTACTGAGGTCTGCTGGCATACGGCATCATCTCTTCCCACATTCTAACATGGCGCCGTGACCCAGAAGACCACAACGTAAAGTTCGCATAACCTCAAGTCCTCACCACGCCATCATTCTTCTTTATTCATTGCCACACAAACCTTCAGCCAGCACAGCATCGACAAATAAATAAGTGAACACAGTATATTTGCCAAGAGTGATGTAGTATCAAAATGCGTAACAATTTGAAATATTAACGAATTCTGAGAAAAGTACATATATGAGAGTTACAGTGATATAGAGAGAAAGAGACGTAGAATACAGGTCGCAGGGGCAATTTAGCAAGAAATGCTGGGTTTGACGGAAGAGTTAAATGGACGTCATGTTTCGTAGGAAGAAGGCGGTGACTTATGCTGACAGGAAAGGTCGCTCACACGAATATAACAATGTCTTTGCTATTTTACTGAAAACAAACACGTGTCCGTAACGTCCTCGTCTATTTTGACTAAATTAAAAGCAGATTTTTTATATTTTATTCTGCAGAAAATAATTTATAAAGAACGGACAAAAATCTGTTATAGTAGTACATACGTTATTATGAACCAACAGGAGGAGTCAGAGGAGAGTTGAAAGAAAATTACACAAATAGATAAATCAGTTCGTGATTTGCACAATAACAAAATGGACAAGGATATTACGGACATTCTATACAGGAGCGCACTCAGCGTTTCTTAGCCGCTAAGTAAATTCAGTCGCGGATTATTCCACATTATGATACAGAGTTAGTAACGAGTAGCTGAGAGATATTCAGCTCACGGGGAAATCCCCCTTGTTTAATATTCTTCATAACAACTTTATCTCAACTAAGTTACACACCTTTGAATTAAAGGATATCTGAGAACAACAATCTGGAAACGATACCAAAAAAAAAAGGGTTGTGACCTATTTAAAAGTAGTAACACAACACTTGCTTGGATTACAGAAAAAACACGAGAACTTATTGTACAATAAGCGGCCTCCGTAGTCTAGGGGTAACGTTCCCACCTCATGACTTAAGCTACGCGGGTTCAAACCCGGCGGAAGTCGTAGAATATTTAAGGGCGGAAAATTTCAGGGAACAAGTCCTCCGGGAGGGACTTTAAGCCGTGGGTCCCGTGTCGTAGATTTACGGCAAGTAAAAGATCCTCATGTCTCTAGGAAACCTCTGAGCAAAATTATTAGGCAACAATTTTCCGCCCAAGTAGTTTCCAATGCCTCTGATAAATGGAGGAAATATCAGGTACCGACGGCCGAATTCGTTGGCTGAACGGGGCTGATACCACGCACCAGTACCGGTAGGGTATTGGGGACAGTAGAAATTAAAGGAGGACGCACAATGGACCAATAACTGGTCTAAGTGCATGGGGAAACCCACCCCCTCTAATAATAATAATAAATAATAATATTGTACAATACTGGCATCCAGACCAAAAATCGAAGCAATATTTCCAACAACTTTATCACAACCTACAGTTAATACTTTTATCTTCTAATATGTATGTTGCTAATACAGAATATTCCCAATCACAGTGGCCGCGCGGCCTAAGGCATGATCTGTTTTCGCTCGCTCAAACGCTGAAATCGTGGGTTCGAATCCCACTAAAGGCATAGATGTCTGTGTGAGTTTATTCTGTGTTTGTGCTGTCCTGTGTGTAGGTAGCGGCCTTGCGACGGGCTGATGCCCCGTTCAAGGAGTCCTACCGTCGGTGTAAAAGATAAAGAAATTGAAAAAGTGGCCAAGGCCCAAAAAAAAGGGCTGTAGAGGCATGGACGGATGGATAAAATGGGGAATTTTGCAACAATCTACACCAGCCGCTTCAAAATGGCCTCTTATGATGTAAAGTCCTCCCCATGTCTACTGAATCATCAAGTCTTGAAGCCGTTTGGAAGAGTGGGGCACTTATCGTCGCGTTCTTAATTCGAGACTGGATGACGAAGCAGTGGTCAGCCCTACAGCCCTGACAGCGGAGTGGGCGGAGAATCGGACTGGACGCTCTGCCGCTGCAGGGAAACGAATCCCGATTTCCGGGTCGTCCGACCCACAGCGTGTTCCCTATATTAACTGCGCCTTCCCAGATCCCTTCAAGCGATCTGTTACTATGAGTACTTCCCGCCACAGTTTTGAAATACATTTGTATGCATATTGCTCACTCTACCTCATTTAACCACCACAGCAAAACTGCGCGACGCGATAGACACGTTTTATGACACTGTGATTAGGAACAAATGCATTTCTTACTCTCATGGGAGTGAAAATTACTAAATCAGAAGGTTAGACCACCTATTACCGAGAATTACATTGGGGAGCCGGCATACCTCATTCAACAACGCAATACGCTGAAAGGTCGAGGAACTTGTACTCGGTTCTCGGTAGAGGCAAGAGATATCTCTCTTCTCCACAGCTTCAAGACCGGCTTCACTGTCCACCCAGCCTCCTACCTAACGCGTACCANGCGGGGGGGGGGGGGGGGGGGAGTAAAACGGCAGGGACGTGAAGCTGACAACTCACCCCCTCTACTGCCGACAGCTACACCCTGCTCCTCCATCCATCTTCATGGCGTGGTGCTTAAGTAATTAAATACAAGGAAAATGTAATCTTTCTCCCTTCTATTATGAAGAATTCCCACTTCTCCCAAGGAATGCTCGTGTTTGTCTCCAGCCAATGTGAATGAGACAGATGTATGTTTGATGTAACGCTCAGCAGTATGTAGCTGTGACTGGCAGAAACTGCAGTGCTCACTGTATTTTTTTTTTAAATTCGCTTAGTGGGGGGGTGGAGTCCAACAGGGTCCACTCGGCAGGGCGGCCACTGATTGGACTATTGTACCTGTCCCGGGTGATTATGATGATGGAGAATTTGGTGGAATGAAGATTGGCGGGGGAAACCGAAGTACTCGGAGAAAACCCGCCCCAGCGCCACTTTGTCCACTACGAATCCCATTTGACCAGACCCGAGATCGAACCCAGGCCGCCGCGGTGGGAAGCCAGCAACTAACCGCTTGAGTTATGCTGCGGCCTATGCTTACTGTATTGCTCCAACATTAGGATCACGAGTTCGAATACCTTATGAGACATTACTGCACGTCATTTAACCTTGGAATGTCCTGTACAGACTGCGTGAAAAATGGAGATAAGTTTCAGACCCACGCAAATGTTTCTCAAAATTCTGCTGGATGCAAATTTAGTTTTCAGTTCTTTTTGTGGGTTACTTAATTACGCTTCCAGTATTGAGAACATATAACGTCAGATGCTAGGATGAGAGATGAATGATGAATTGGAAATTACTTAAAAGAAAGCGGTTGTGGCCTAACTGCGGTTCTATCCCAGCATTTTCTCAGGGGGACTGAGGAAACCCACGGAAACTTGTCAGAATAACCAGTGTCTCGGCAGAGATTCGATCCGAGCACTTCCAGAATACAAGTACAGAGCGTTACCTCTAGACCAACCAGTTCGGTAATTTTCGGTTTTGTAATGTTCTGCATAAATGAGTTTTTATCTCTGCTCTCCTACAGATACTGCACTTTGATCACTAACTTCGCCGACAAGCGGCGGTCGCTCGGTTGGTGTTGGTGTATTTCGCTTGCGGACTAAAGTCACAGAGTTGAGTTTTTTTTGGTCTGGCTCTCCTACAGACCCTTTAGGAAGAATTTTCTTCAAAAGTTAACAGTTATTTATCTGGTTAAGAATTTACAATATCCTGTCATTGGAACGTATCCTGAGCCAGTTAAACTCTTTCCCCTACACAAGTAATGGTAGTGCTGTCCCTGTGCTTAACTGATTAAGCACTACGCCATGAAGACAAATGGGGGAGTGGATGTATAGATACACATTTTCTTGACCTCGGCAGTATTTGGAGGTGAGTGGTCAGCTTCACGCCCCGTAAAACAAGTACATTTTAATATTATTCTCCCATTTATGCCTATGTCTAGCAAGTGATCTCGTTCACTCAGGTTTTCGAACTAATCTTCCTCTTTGAATAAGTGTCACATTACTGACTCATGTGACAAAAGAATTAAAAGGAGACTATGAATGCAGACGTCAGCACGTCGAAACGAGTTACTCACCTAGTGCTTGAAGTGCAACCATCATGGAGAAGCCAACGAGAATGAAGACTAGTCTGATGATACCGCACCCAGTTTCCTTCCTCTTTTCTCTATCCAACACTTCGAAGAAAGTTATGTAGAGAATAGTTCCACCTGCTATGCCTTGCATTACAGCTACTACGAGATCCTGAACAGGGCCTTCGGTGGAAGAGTCCACAGTCACCAAAATACCGACCACCACACCAAGCGGTGATACGAGGGACAGTATCACAACGTATAACACAAGATTTAACAGACGGATGCCCGATGTAACTAGCTCCAATCCTATACAGAAAAGAATAGCACACGCATGAATGGATACCGCAGTGAAGAGATACCACACGTCACGCTGGGTGTGCTGCAGCCCTATAGCGAGGCCTTCAAACACCGAGTGGAAAGAGAGGGCCACGACCACCAGGAATCTACGGAGCCCTCCAACCATTGACTCCTGACTGAGGCTGTCCAACGCGTAGCCACTGTGGTGATGATGTGGCATCTCAGGTGTGGCTTTCCCATCGCAAGGGTGACAGTTTCCTACATTAATCACAGTCGACTGCTGAGGCAGTGTGGCGCAGTGCGAGTGTTCCAGGGACAGGGACGACGCGATTAGATGTACTTGAGAGGACGCTGGTACTATCTTACCACTTGACCTCTGACGACTTTTAGCAGAAAGTGGCGCATCTGCGTCATTATGGAACCCAAATTTGTCTTCGGTGCTGTCTGCAGTTTTCTTGAGTTCTGTTTCTGCGGTAGAACAGTACTGAAGAGATGGCCTCACGCAGAACTCCTTGCGATCTGAATGAACAAACAAACGGTGTGCTATTTCTTCTATCACGTAGACGAGGAAGAAGCCACAGCAGATGAGAAGTTCTGCGAAAGGGAAACTGGTATCGTGGGAGATGACGCTGAAGCCACTGCGTTTCACAACCTCCAGGGACTCCCGGACTTCAGGGATCATATGGATGAAGCATGTAGCTAGCAGAACCCCGCCGCCGAAACAGAGACCCAGCGATATAGCAGTATCCACCCGGGCACGACGCCGCTCCACTAGCTGATCTGACACACCGCTCTCCCCCCACAACTTCAGCTTCTTCGTGATCTTGAGCGGCACCAAGCCGAAGAACAGTCGGATAACTCCCAGCAGTGTCAGAACCACGATCTTGGTGGACACCAGTTCCATGTTCACTTCAACATCCCTACTCTTCCCTTCACTGCACACTTCGTCGCGTGGAGTAAACTGACAGGCAGTCGGTCAGTACAGCGTGCAGCACAATACGTCATACCCTCACGTGACCTCCTGGCCAGGTAGCTAACGGGTCCTCCAGCTGCTGCGTTGCGAAACTTGGTCTCCGGCTACGTGATCGAGCAGGCCGCATTCGCTGTATGGTCTCGTCTGTCAGTTCAGGCACGTTCTCCATTCGTGCTCTGGAGAGGGCCGGGCTACCTTGAATGAATTATTTGCGATTTTCTTCAGTGTCTGAAGGAATATTTTGGGCTACTATGCGATTTTACCACACGCGCCCTAGGACGTTTGACGACAGTCTGAAATACGACAATATCCGTAATTACTTCTCAGATTGTGGTGGTCTGGGTTCTGGCACAGTGTTTACCAAGGTTTCGCAGAAGCCCGCTGTCTTTGTTATTAGGGTAGATGCATATCTTTGTGCTTTGGCGAAGGAAGGAGCATTGTGATTGTAAAGCATCATAACTCAGAAGACCGTTATGTGAAATTCACTGCCGTGGGAAATTAAAATATCTTAATTATTATTTCCCTCGCCTTAAGATGATTGTCATTATAAGAAATAAAAATGTGGTGGGGCTACTACTTTTTGCGTTACTCACTTCATTCGGAATAACAGAATTAGACACATGTGTGAGACGGCTTTCGTAGGAAATTATACAACTGCTATCCCCATGGCGACAGTGGCATTTAAAAGTATGGATCTATAAAAACTTAAAACCTACACAACGTACTTGCGGCAAAATATGACGAAGAAATGGCTTCTGTGTGTTGTTATTTTCTGAAAGATAAGCTAACATTTCTTTTAGCACAAAATTAAGAATGCGTGGAGCTATGTTTCTGTTCAGCCATACGTCTTTATGGCGTGGTGTTTAATTAACTAAGAACAGTCTGACTAGGTCATTGAGGTGGATGAAGGTGAAGTGGTAAATTGTAATTTATTATTACTGTAGGAACTAGCCGGTCTGGACGTGATGGAGAAGACAATAACTTCGGCCTGTGTAGAATGCAACTACGGTCGTCCAACCCTAAACCACTCACTATATTGGCAGAGGTAATATACACGTAGTCTACTGCTAGTCGTTACAGTTACGCCTTAAATGCTTGTTTATATGCCAATTATCATATTTCTTCCAAGATTAGTTTCCTGTAGGTTGCAGAGAAAAGACAAGGATTTTCAGAACCGGATGACTGTTTCAGGACTTTTCTCATTTCCGACCGATCGCTAACCTAGTGACTATCTCACGGAAATGCGTAATGCCTGATGACGACAGCATAGCTTTCCCTCTTCCCCTGATCGCTAGCGAGTACAGAACGAATGGTAGGCATCCTAACAAACGCTAGCCATTTGGCGCAAGGATACGTATTTTAAAAGCTAGTGAACGGCTTCATGACTTCGAACGAATCTACTATAAATTGTATAGAACATGAATAGATGAAAGGATTTTATCAGCTCAGTTGATGCGCTACACACACACACACACACACGCCCACACACACAAATTTATATTCTGAATATTAAAAATACAAATTTTATATATAATCCAGTCAAATTCCTACCAGTATCTGAACTGAATATAACCCCTTTATTTTGTATCGAGGCTTTCAATTCGCACTGTGCATTGGTCGAAGACTGACTGCAGGTTACCTTGTGATACTACAGACCAGATATTACCAGTTTTTGTCACAGTAAATCCAAAGACTGCAACAGTTGGGGTTTAGTCACTGACCGTGTAAGCTCATTCGAAACACGGCAATAGGACGGATTTAAATTTTGTGGAATTTGGAGACGTTCTATGAGTTAACAAATTGAACTGTAACGTCATCCGGCACTTCCAAGACCTGGCAATATAAGTGCAAAGCAACGAAACAATCGAATCTTTCTACACACATTTAGGTATGAGCTATACAACTTATATGATTGTCGTTCAAATGCGTATAGCAGTTAGATTTTGCGCCACTCAAAGCAAAAAGAAACAAAGAAACGCCGTAGCTTTAGTCCGCAAGCGAACAATGCGCCACTGGAACATTCAACAGTAAGTACATATGATCTTCACAGCTGTAAGTAACAAATGGTAGCAGAATACCGTCTTCTGGGATGTGGCGCCGTGTAGATATCGTATAAACCGACGTTTCGGAGGAACGGATCGCCTTAATTTTCAGGGTAGAAAGAAAAAACGAAAAAATCACGGAGCGAGGAACCAGTGTGAGCAGGTGGCTGTAGCCCAGAAGACGTCTTTCTTCAGTCACCTCCGTGAAAACCTGAAATCCGTGAAATCTTACAAATGATAGCAGTTCACGTTAGATAGGTCTCAGATTTGAATTTCCAACTGAAGACGGATATCCTAACGTAGGATTTTCTTCGTCATTCGCAGCGCCTCTAAGCAGTGCTGTGGTAGGATCGGTAACGAGAAAAAAATATAAACTCTCGTATCTGAACAATGACCTATACGAATGTTCATGTTGTAGCTTGCAAGATTCTGCATGACCTAACATACGCAATGTTTTATACGTAGAACTCTAGGGGAAAGAACGCAGATTCTCTGGCCACTTAATGAAATCCACAGACAACAAATTTCGGAGTTTGTTTAATGGAAGACAGTTATACTTGTCCATCAATTTTCGATAACTCTCCCGTGAGAAAGAGTATTTCGGGAGCCCTGGTTGTTCAAAATTCAGAACCTTAGAATGTTTATTATAATGATTACGATATTTGGGGCTGTGAGAGGTACCAATGTTTCGGGAAATCCCGCTGCCTCTATCTCCTGCCCAGAATACTGATGCAGCAGGGTTCTCAAGACACCCTATCACACGGTGACACATCTCCGCAGACTGCAATGTGATAACCGCAAATCTGATCACCATGTCTTCCAGTTCTTATATTTGGAATCTTGATAGGATATTACCGTTGGATCCTCCCTCGTGTTGCAGGCAGTGGTAATGGTCTATAGATACTCATCATGCTCGCTGAGCTCCTAATAATATAATTTAAAGCAATGCTAGCTGTTAATACCAGCCCTCCCACTGCTGATATGAAGAAAATAGGCCCCATAAATATTCATATTCCTGTTTGTGTTAGCAGATATACAGAGGTGGGAATCTTAGCAACAAAAATAAACTACCTGATTAACTGAAACCTATAAGGCCTATGCTTTATATCGATCGCTCAAACCCCTTCCCCTTTATGTACGCGTCAGCTGTTCGGCGGATCGTCTGTAACCATAGCAACATGAAGTCAACAAGTATGGCGAACAGATGGTAGCTTAGCACAGAGAGACAGAAACGTCCATCGTATTGCTAACTGTAAGTATATACAACTGTAATTTTCCTATCAGAATTTGTGTTCTGATTTTATTAACTAAGATTGTCGGTCACAAGTGCATAGATATCGTTTTAAATAGATTGTTAATAGCAGTAATCAGATCAAAAATAGCAATGATTATGCTTACTGGTAGTTTGTACTCTACGAAAGCGACATAAGCATGCGTAATGAAAGAATTTAAAAGCCTGAAATAAATAGCTTGCCTGTAGATCTTTAATGAAATCTCACCTTAAAGCAATATACCCAAGTCCAGTTTGGGGGTCATTAACGAACAGCAAATCTTAAAGAATGGAATGAAGCAGTAAAAGATAAAAGGCAAACAAATTAAGCACTATGCCATGAAGACGTATGGAGGAGTGGATGTGTAGACCCACGTCTTCTTGATGTCGGCACTAGTTGGAGGTGAGTGGTTAACTTCACGCCCCGGCCGTTTTACCCCAGGAGAAAGAGCTCCACGGTACCCACTGAATAGGGAGCTGGGTGGACCACAGGGACGGTCTGGGCTACATGGATAAGAGAAAATTTTGACCCTACGGGGATCCGAATTCCGACCTCTCTGTCGTCCAGCCCGTACCCAGCTGCTATACGCACAGCGTTATTCTGGGAATATGGCAGTAGTGGCTTAATCTGAGGCACTGTTATTACCTTTTCCAGAAGTAACTGAAGAAAACCACAGAAATCTCAGAAATGACGTGGATGGAAGCAGGAGTAGCTTAATATTATGTATTATCTTGTCGTGTGACTGAAGGGTCTAAAAGAACTCAAGAAAATCCCCAGAACAGTCGGGACCTCTCGAATACAGAGCAGCAGAGTGAAGGAAATGCTAAAGTAAAGCTGTCCTTGTACTCCATTAACTTACGAATGAATATGAGGGAAATGGAGTTGTAGCTCCATGCGTCCTTAACCTCGGCATTATGTGCAGGCGAGTGATTAACTTCACCTTCCGACCGCTTTACCTGCAAGAAACAGCTCCCGATCTCTAACAGACAGCAGGCTAGGTCGGTTACAGTGTCGGTCTGGAGGTGGTGGCAAAGATAAAAATCCCTGGACCTTCTGGGAATCGAAACCAGTTAGTCCAGTCCGTAGTAACAAACAGTAGGCTTGGTGGGTCCCAATGCCAATCTGGACGCCGTTTACTAAGATAAAAACCCTTGGCCCTGCTGAGAATCGAAACCAGGTGGTCCAGTGCGTAACCTAGTCTTTATACAGACTGAGCTATCTCAGATCCTGCGGTTGTCCAGGATAGGCAGAAGAAATTCCTCCAAATGGAGCGAAGCTTCAAATATTTCACTTAAATGCAGTTACTTCCAAATTCTGCATTGTTCACAATAAGCCTAGATGCTCCTCGTGCTGCTTACGGAAACACTTCTCTGCTTGCAGGCATCAGCGATGTTCGGCCAGCCACTGTCCTACACAAAGCCTGACCAAGGCTTCGCAAGGCGAAATGTGACCTGTACGAAGCCGTGCCAGACTGCAATCGTAAGTACTGCGATCATAGTGGTACGAGTATATTGTTGACTGAGTGTGGGGTTACTTAACTGTTTTCTTTCAACAGTATAGGATACAGAGGGCGGGATGGCACAGTCGGTATAGCGACTGGCTACGGGGTGCCGACCGAGGGGTCGGAGTTCGAGTCTCGGTAGCGTCAAGAATTTCTCTCCTCCTCGTCGTCCAGACCGACGCTGGTGCCCACCCAGCCCTCTATTAAGTGGGTAGCTGGGGGCTCTTTCGCCGGTGGTAAAGCGGCTGGGCCATGAAGCTGACCACTCACCTCCAACTAGTGTCGAGGTCAAGAAAATATGCATCTAAACATCCATTCCCCCCATATGACTTCATGCCGTAGTGCTTAATTATTTAAGCACAGGGACAACATTACCTTTAGAGGATACAAAGCCCTGTTGAGATATATTACTTGTTCTTTTCATTTCTCTGCCCACCTATTATCTGAAAACGCTAAATTCCATAAATAATTTTATCTGTTGTTTTGTATTTGTGTGAAATTTGGTCTTTCACACTAAAACAAGATGGAAACTGGAGCGAATAATTTTCTTGGAAACACTGGTACAATATTCCAGACTAGGGGCATCGTAACAAAGAAGTCGCAATTGTGAATCCCCAGTGCAGTGAAAACCGACGCGATGATGTTTGAGAGGAGGCCAAAGAGAACAGTTCGATTATTTAAACCTAAGTGGGAGAATGTAAGAGAAGACCTGAAAGAAGAGAATAATGAGAAGTTTCATTATCAGTAACATAGTTAATTGGGGCACTGTTCTACAGGACGGAAGGTCGCGGATTCGATTCCCGATGAGCCCATTTGTCCTAATCCTTCCAAACGCACTATGGCCTGGGGTCGACTCAGCCTCCAACAGAAATGAGTACCAGGAATATTCCTGGGGTGTAAAGGGCGGCCGGTACTTAAAGCTGACAACCTTACCGCCAACAGTGAGCCGACTGTCTAGAAAATGTGGGAATCTTGACGTCTCAGAACCGTATAGATCTCCAAGGACTGTTACAGTGGTAGCTTTACCTACCGTTATCTTTACCTTTACCAGATATTACTAGAAGGGCCAAATCAAGGAAAATGAGTTGGGCAGAGCTTGTACCATAAATGGCACCCACAATACTTGTAAAGTATACTATTTTTTTTTTGGAAAACCTGAAGGGAAGAAACCACTAAGAAGACCCAGCTGTGGAGTAAAAAAAAAAAAGAAGGAAAGTCAGCCTTACGCGCCGGCCGCGCTTTACTCCCCAGGAAAATTCCTGGTACTCATTTCTGTTAGA